AAACTGCACTTCGTGGGAGAAAGGAAATGTGAGTAACTGTAGTAGAAGCAGATTTAGCTATATTAAGTTGTGATACACTGTATATGCCATGAAATATTAATGAAGAGTGTCAAAGATTAATGTGTCACAACTTGGCTGGTTTCACTATGACTGGAAAAGTCATGGAGACTCAGCAGATTTCTGTTCATGTGAAGTGGGATAAAAAATTATGATAAAAATGTTCACAATTTTTTCAATTTGCCTTTTGTGTCAGGGGTATTCCTCATTCTTACATTACGCAAGGAATTGGGTCGAGTCGGTAGGTGCAAAGCATGTTGGGGCAGGTTCAGGATGCAATTCTTAAAATTTACTTTGAGGAGAGTGATCTGACTAAAGCAAAATGGTAAAAGCAAATTGTTGTGTGCTGGGGTGCACTAAGAACTGGAGAAACTCTCCCAACATGAAATTTCAGTCTTCCAAGTGATTCAAAAGTGTTAAGAACATATGAGAAGCTCGTACGAAACAAAACTTTAAAGAGAACTTCTTTGAGCACTCGCATCTGTGGAGCACATTTTCTTCAAGGGGAGCAAATGTCAAGAACTCAACTTCCTTCAATATTTCCTTGGACCTCTGTTCCTCAGAAACGTAGGAAAATAGAAAGAGTACAACTGCTGACCACAACACCACCTCAAACAACCACAGTTACTAATTGCTTGCAAGCTGAAAACGAAAATGTTGAGGATGTTGAATGCCCAGTTGTCACAACAAAAAGTGAAACCATGGACTTCCAAGAAAGTATTAATGATGAATCATGTAGAGACCAAAGCATCCAAACAGACATTTTAGACGAGTCACAATCTCCACAAGAAGAAATATTGGCTCTGAAAGAAACGATACGCTGTCTTAAAGCAAACATTAATGAGCTGAACACTAAACCTAAGTTTGAATTAAGTAACCACAAAGATGAGGATGAGGATATCGCCTTTTATGTGGGTTTGCCCAACTATGATATATTATTACTATGTTTTGACTTATTGAGAGAAAGCTACCCACCTATGCTACAAGAATCGTGATGAAACTGAGTATCCTTCTGTCTACAAGAAACCTGGTAGTAAATGAAAACTAACAATATGGCAAGAATTTACTCTAGTGCTTGTGCGTTTACACCTGGGATTGCTCGAGAAAGATTTAGCCGAGAGGTTTAGAGTTTCAATATCCACAGTTTCAGTCATTTGGAGAACATGGATTAAGTTTATGAGGAAAGAGCTTGAGCCCATTTGCATTCAGTGGCCATCTAAAGAACAGACTGTGCAATTCATGCCACCAGTATTTAAGTCATTCTAACCAGACTTAGTTTCAATCCTATACTACACAGAGATTCAGATGGAGTCACTTTCTGGTCTCAATAACAGGTCTTTGTGCTATTCAAGTTATAAGTCTCGCGCTCCCAATGGTGTAATCTCGTTTTGCAGTGATCTTTACTGTGGATTGATCATTGACTTTCAGATTGTGAGGGAATCCAGGTATTTATCACAACTGAATAGAGGTGGTTTAGTTATGGCTGATAAAGGATTCACCATTCAAGGTGAATTGGCTGAAGTTGGAGCAAAGTTGGCATTGCCACATTGATAATCAATAATTGTGCAAGATTTAAATGGAACCACTGTTGGATTCTTGATCAGTGATGTGGTAACAGTTTCTCCAAAATATACATGTATGCATTCACAGTTGTAATGTCCACAAAGACCTACAGTAGACAAAACCATCACTTTTTGATTTTCTTCCAGCCATGCAATAGCTTGCCACATGATTGTTTAAGTCCACACAGCCTGTGTTGTTATTTTAGGTCTTCATGACTGGGGAGCTTGGAACTTGAATCATGGTTCCATCTGTTGCTGTCTGCCAACAGTGTCATTCCCCATGGAACTTGATTGAGAGCTCGACAAATAAATAGGCTTCTTATCCTTCCACACAATGACAACAATTTTCCCTTTGCAAGGGAACAAAGACTCTCTTTGACGAAGTCTCTTGACTCTTTGAGTTAAAGGTGTGACATCCCCTGGGATGCCTTGACAATTTCCACAAGCAGATAAATACAAAGCAGATCTACCATGAGAGCAATAAATGAATGAATTCCTCATTTATATTGCACCTTTTCTATACAATATTCAAAGGCGCAGTACCCCCCATCAATTTGATAGACACTACACAAAGATAGACCACAACACCGGGCACTACGTGCCCTACTCTTTTTGAACAGTGTGTGGGTTCTTTAACGTCCCACAAATTTTTTATCACATACAAGGGCTTGTGAGACGGGACCTCCATTTATCGTCCCTATCCAAGAAGACTAGAAAGTCTAACCATTTGCAGATATTATTACAAAGGCAGCACTTTCTTCTCAGTTATAATATTTAAAGACCCCAAGTGTTGGTCCGGCCAGATTTGAACTCACGACCTCCCACACAACAGTCCGGCGCTCTACCAATTGAGCTAACCGGGAGGCAAGAGAATTGAAAAAGTTGTTGACCAAAAACATGTTGATTTTGTTGAACAGTGGTTTAGTGAGATTGTGGACAACATGTGTCTGAGTCCTTCAAAATCCTATGCAACGATGTTGATTCTACTCTTCTTGGTTTAATCAGTATATTGCTTTAGAGAAAATCTTCCTTTTAAAGGAATCATTGCCTCGTTGATTCAGACATTTCTGGACGGCCTGTACTCACTTTTGATAGCCTCCAAAACAGAATAGAGAAGAGGTCGCACTTTGAACAATTTGTGCCCATGTGGCAACTCTCTTCTCTTATTGTTTAGATGAAGATATTGTGAGATTTACGCAAAATGATTCCATGGGAAAATCTACTGTACCTCTGGGACTCCATTTAGACCAGTATAAATACACTTTGGGAAATTGCTTTATCCTGAATAGGATACTTGACACAAGAAATGCCTTCACTTCTTTGGTTTTGGTTTCAGACCATGAAGGATCTTGTTTTATTTCAATCACTTTCCTTGCATAATGATTTGTTTCTTCTGCAATTCTGTTAAAATTGCTGTCCATAAACACTAATTTAAAGAAGTTAATTGTCAGATAACCTTGAACATCCCTAACCAGATTGGTATTTGAAAATGAAAATGAGCATTTTTATTGGTTGGAATTGACCATTACCGGTATGTAGAGTGCCATATGGCATGTATGGAAGTTTTAGGGGGTGGTACATGTGAATGCCATATGGCACTGTCAGACAGGAAAGGGCTACTTAAGGTAAGTAAAGCAATAATATTTCACTGAATTATTTACAGAAAAGATGATTAAATTAAAAGAAACTCAAATGAAACTTACTGGTATGTCTTCTTGGTGTTTTAACTGAAGCAAAACAGGGGTTGTTCGAGGCGTTTGAATTTTGGGCCACATTGGGCAACCGTGTTATGATTCTTAAAACAATCCAAGCACAACCTAGTGCCACATAAACTACATCCCATCCTGCTGAACATTGTTTTTTTATCCTCCAGACATTGCTTACATATCTCCCCTCGCTCATTTTTGTGGGCCAGTGTCCAGCGTGAATGGCTCCTTCTTGAAAAGCATGTTGACCTGATGAGAAGTCGCCAAAAGAGCATCTCCACCACTTTTATTCCAAACTGAAGCTGCACGAAATTTGGATGGTTAACAGCAATTTCTAATCAGAGAATGTTTAGAAATACCTTTGATGATAAAAATTAACGGTAAAAAACTACGACGTTTCGAAGTCTGCATGACCTCATTATCAAGTAAAATGTTAAAACTGATGTAAAATTGTAGCTCAGAGATTATATACAAATAAAATGTGATAACTTCATTAGAATAATGAGCGTTCATTGTTATTGGTGTTTAGCATGTCAGATCGTGCAGTATATGTTTAAATAAATACTTTTGCACGTATTGAGTCAGACTGCGTGTTTAGCTTTGGTTTTTGTTCGCGAATGAATAGCATTTCGTGAATTAGGCAGTCCATTTTTCCGCGGCATTTCTTGAGAACGGAAAACATTTCCTCTAGGCTAGTGGACGCTACACTGTGGGCTTCTTTCAGATGCTTGCCAATGACAGAGGCTTTATGTTCTTCTATGCGTTGATGAAGATGGCGTGTGGTATAACCGATATAATCCGCATCGCACGAATCACATTTAAAAGTGTAAACAACGCATTGGTGGTTAATTAAAGCGGGCTTCTCTTCTTGTATCTTGAGCTTTCCCTCGATCTTACGACTCGTGAAAACTGGTTGTAGGTCAGTTCCGATTTTCCGGCCAAGATCTTTCAGCTGATGTCTTACTGTGTCGGCCGATTTTTGGTCTTTAAATGGTAAAGTTATTCTGACAGGTTTTTGTGTAGCCGCGTCAAGTTCAGTTGGGGTTTCGTGACGGCTTTGGATCGTAGAACTCGTGTACCAGGCGATAGCTGAGTTGATGAGTTTCACTGGGTACTTAAGCTTAGTAAACATCCGCTTGAGATGCTGGCATTCCTTCGTAAAAGATTCTTTCGTTGATGACAGGCGGTAAGCTCGGTTCAGCATTGTATTCAGCAGAGATCTTTTGTAACGCTGATCGACATGGCTCTGGTAATGTAAGAGCAGTCCTGTATCAGTTGGTTTATGATATACGCTTGTTGTCAGGTGGCAACCGTTTTTCTCAATCATCATACCGAGGAATGGAAGCTTGTTGTTTTCAGCAATTTCCATTGTGAACTGTATGGCAGGATGGCATTCGTTCAATGTTGAAAGGAAGGCTGTTGCGGCTTGAATAT